CAACAGCCGCTTCACAACATAAGCACTTCATTTGATTTAACAAGTGCGACCCCCCCTTCTCTCTCTCTCTCTCTCTCTCTCTCTCTCTCTCTCTCTCTCTCTCTCTCTCTCTCTCTCACACACACACACACACACACACACACACACACACACACACACACACACACACACACACACACACACACACACACACACACACAACACCGAAAACAACGCATAATCGGTCTGGAAGAAATCCCCAAAGACGATAAATCTGCCGGGCGAATCTGTTCTCTCGTTCTTGTGTTATTTTGTTCTTACAGAAGTTCCTCCGGGGGCCCACCAGAGCCCCGGAGACGAAATTCTCAGCGGCTGGTCACATCGTCATCCGTACGTCCTCACTCACACTAACTGCACGATGTTGGGTGCTTGCATGCCCTTGATGATGTCATACTGGCTCTTGACACACCTGTGCATGTACACCTGTAAGGGAAGGAATGCATGGCCTTGAAACAGAAAATAAAGTAATAGTTAGGACTTGGAAATCTTTGAAAGAAAATATGGTATGAGTTAAGAAACTGAGAAATCAACTTTGAAACAGCAAACATGGTATGAGGTAAGTACTTGGGACATCAACCTTGAAACAGAAAGTATGGGATGAGTTAAGAAACTGGGAAATCAACCTTGAAACAGAAAATATGATATGAGTTAAGAACCTGGGAAATCAGCCTTGAAACAGAAAACATGGCATGAGCTAAGGACTTGGGAAAACAACCTTGAAACAGAAAATATGGTATGAGTTACGGACTTGGGAAAACAACCTTGAAACAGAAAATGTGGTACGAGTTAAGAACCTGGGAAACCAACGCATGGCCTATAAGGATGTTGTATCTTCTTGAATGTGAAATTTCAGCCTCCTCGATAAGTGAATGTCTCTCGGTGGAAATCTTTAAATGAGTTATGAGGAACGGGTTGACTGAAAGCGAATCGTAGGGCCATGAGGATGTGATGCACGGGTCTAAATGAGAACCTGAGGAGGCGTCCGTCTTGCCTCATCTCTCGTTTCACCTTCTCAAAAGCACAATAAAACTCTATGATAGCGTAGTAAACGACCTCCTTTTTTTGCATATCATTGTAATAAACACGAAGTGAAAGTTAAGCGAAGAAAAATAATCCCTTGTGAAACCAAATCGTGGAACTGAAATAAAAAGACGCGGCAGAAACGGTGAGTTATAAACGCAAACGAAATTACAGTTACATTTTTGTTGTAGTGAAATGAATCGAGAAATGACATAACAACCGGGACATGAACGCACTTTCCTGCTCGGTCGACTGTCATCAGATTTCTAAAAATAGATCTATGGATTATCAGCGTCCGTTCGCTGGACGAGTTCAAGAGGCACTGTCATACCAGCTGTACATATTTTACCTACGTCGTTTTATTGACTGATGGTTAAAACTGTCTTCATTTGATTATTGTGAGTTGGATACTGGAGAGACTGTATGCTAGATGGTAGGCCATTTTACTATAAATTCATCCATGTGTTGTATACTATAGACACAACTTCCATACATTTTAACATCATATACTATGCATCCATTCATTGGAAACTTTATTCTTATGAAATGAATTAACGTAAACTGACGCACAACTTATTGAGGAAAGTGATTAGATGCAACACTACTTACATGAGCAGCTGCGAAGAGTAAGTAGATCAGCGTCCACAAGACCGACATCAGCTGTGGAGTAAGTATACGTTAGTGATGTGAACCGTGACAAAAAAGGTGACATCTCTCTGGAAAATAAGGTCATCATATCCACGACTGATTGCCAACTTACCAACGCTTATCAGGACAACCTTCGAGGCTTTCCCCAATTTCCTTCAAACCTTATCACAATTATTAGTAATATTATCCATAAAAAAATGAAACAGCTTCACAAAAAATTATATAAAACTCATGAACTCCCCTCCCCCTCCTCCACTTCCCCCTCCCATCCTACCCACCCCCCACTACCTGCCAACGGAGAAGGCCAACAGATCAGTAGTAACTCGAGGAGGTGTCATGGCCTCCCACAGGGCTATTTTGATGATTGTTCAATGAAAATATAACCATTAAAATTATAATTTTTCTTCCTTTTAGAAAATTTAAATGATCAAAATGATCGACCATATTCTTAGAGCATCCATAACTATTGTGACGTCATCAAAATAAACCCCATGTGCTTTTTTTCCAAAAATAGAATCAGCCGCCATGACACCTCCTCGAGTTGCTACTGATTTAACCTTCCCCGCCAGCCAACCGCCAAAACCAAAACAAAAGACGATCGACTCACGTAATGATAATAGGACGCCTGGAGCCACAGGGCGAAAGCAATGATCATGAGGATGTAGATGAGGTTCTGGCTCAGCCACGGCAGGATCATGCCTCGGTGATCCTTGGCGACTCCCCGGATCATGAGGATGGAGAAGGCGATGTACAGCAGGTAGAAGAAGATCATGAAGCCGCCCGCGCTTTTCATGGCTGGAAAGAAGAGGGACCCTGAGTATAAACTAGTGGCTTGTATTATGGTGTTTTGTTACGGCGTGTTATATTGTGACTATAACGCAAATAAATAATATGAGATAACTTAGTATTAGGGTGTATTCTAGTGTTTTGTTATAGCGTGTTATTGTGTTATGTAACGATGCGTTATACTGTGACTACAACATAGACATCACAGCAACAATATGAAGTAACTTGGATTTTATAGCCAAGTGCTTTTCATCACAGCTATAAGAGAGTGAGAATAGACACATTTTGCAATGCTTTTGGAAAAGTTAGATTATGAATATAAACAGACTGATGAACAAAAAGACGATAAAAATGTCTATCAACCTGAAAAACGTTTTTTGAACTGAAACATAGGGAGAGGGACATAGAGAAGAGAGAGAGAGAGAGAGAAGAGAGAGAGAGAGAGAGAGAGGAGAGAGAGAGAGAGAGAGAGAGAGAGAGAGAGAGAGAGAGAGAGAGAGAGAGAGAGAGAGAGAGAGACAAGAGAGAAAGAGAGAGAGGACAGAGAGAGAGAGAGAGAGAGAGAGGAGAGAGAGAGAGAGAGAGAGAGAGAGAGAGAGAGAGAGAGAGAGAGAGAGAGAGAGAGAGAGAGAGAGAGAGAGAAGAGAGAGAGAGAGCGAGAGAGAAAACAGACAGAAAGACAGAGAGAGGAGAGAGAAGAAGAGAGAGACAGACAGAGATAAAAAAACAACAGAATGACAGAAACGAAACAGAGAGGGGTCGCCCGAAAGTGCCAACATCATCACGCAAAACACCAATCAGGGAGTGCACTGGCCTACCCCTCGATAATGATCGTACGTGTGCTTCATAGTGTGAAGGGGGGAGGGGGGGTTCGTGGGAGGGTGGTGGGGTGTCGTGTGATCGTGGGGTGGAGTGGGGGGTGGGGGTCATGTGTGAGTGGTCTTGGGGTATGTGGAGGTGGGTGGGAGTGGGGTGGGGGGTTGGAGGGGGTGGGGGGTATGTGTGAGGTGGGTGGTTGTGTGTGAGGTGGTGGGGTGGGAGTGGTGGGTGGGGTGGGTTCGTGGGGGGGTGGAGGTGTGTGTTGTGTGGGGGGGTGGAGTGGGGTGGAGGGGGGGTGGGGGTCATGTGTGAGGTGATGGTGTGTGTGTGGGGTGGAGTGGGGTGGGGGTGGTCGTGGAGGGGGTGGGGTCATGTGTGAGGTGGTGGGGTGTGTGGTGGGGTGGGGTGGAGGGTTCGTGGGGGGGGGTGGGGGTCATGTGTGAGGTGGTGGGGGGGTGTGTCTGTATGGGAAGGGGTGGGGGGGGAGGGGAAAGAGGGGAGGAGGGGGTGGGGGGTGAGATCCGGCAGAGAGAAGGGAAAAAAAATAGATTAAATCTCTCAAAACAAAACGGAAATTCAAGCTACAACTCCAGCCTGCACATCCACGAAAGACGATCAAGCCATTTATTAACTCTTCTGAAATCAAATCCTCGTAACGTAATCATAGGAAAGAGGGATAAATGAGGCATTTGGATAGAATGATGGAAGAGAGAGAAAGAGAGAGAAGAGAGAGAGAGAGGAGAGAGAAGAGAGAGGAGAGAGAGTAGAGAGAGATGAGAGAGGGAGAGAGAGAGAGAGAGGAGAGAGAGAAGAGGGAATAGTGGGAGAAGAGGAAGGGAGGCGAGGGGGGGAGGGAGGGGAAGGGGAGGGGGCGGGGAGGGAGAGAGGAAGGAGGGAGGGCAGGAGAGAGAGGAGAAGAGAGAGAGAGAGAGAGAGAGAGAAGAAGAGTAGAGAGGGAAGAGAGAGAGAGAGGAAAGAGAGAGAGAGAAGAGAAGGAGAGAGAGCGAGAGAGAGGAGAGAGGAGAGAGAGGGGGGGGGGGACACAATGAGCACACAATGCACACCACGACACAAACACACACACACACACACACACACACACACACACACACACACACAACACACACACACATGCACACAAACACACAGACAGACACACAACACACAGATATAATTATACGTATATATATATATATATATATAGATATATAGATATATATATAGATGATTAATATATATATATTATATATATATATATAAATATATAATACGATATATAGTAATATAGATAGGTAATATGAGGTGCATAAGAGTTAGCGGGCAAAGTAAGAAAAGATGACACGAAAAGAAAAAAATAAAGAAACAAAGAAACATCAGGATAAAAGAGTAAAAGAAAAAGACAATGGAAGAGAAAACGACAAAACAAAGAATGGGAAAAAAAGGTAAAACGGAGAACGAGGGAGAGGGAGGGGGGGAGGGAAAAGGCTATGAAAACGTACACAAGAAAATGAAAAAGAGACAAAGAGACCACGGAATAAAAAGAAAAAAAAAAATCTCCAAGAAAATTCAGGGGAATAACACAAAGAGAAATCGAGAGGATTCGCCCAGGGTGTTTTGTGCAAGCATGGAAAGGAACGGGATGGGGGGAGGGGAAGGGGGAGGGATGGGGGAGGCGAAGGAGCTGAGGA